ACTTCTTTCAATGCACTTTGGACTTCCTCTCTGAGTATCATTGGCTCTTGTTCATATGGTATCTCTTGAAATGGTTGAACATTAACCATGTAACTAATTAATAATGTAACTAATAATGTTATAATTTAATGTAGAAAAACTTTACCAAATAATTTTATTGTGAGTATTCCTATAATCTAAGAAATATTGCATTTAAGCAATTTATAATTATGCTTGTCACATATGAATTTATGATTTAAGTTGATAATAAACATTTTAAAAAATGTACCATGGACTGCCCAAAGAACAAACAATCTATGTTGGAAGAAGTACAGTCAGAATGTTCCTTAAAAGTCAGAATGGCAAGACTTTATCTCTCATACTTCAGACATATCATCAGAAAGAACCAATCCCTGGAGAAGGACATCATGCTTGGTAAAGTAGAGTGTCAACGAAAAAGAGGAAGACCTGCAATGAAATGGATTGGCACGGTGACAGCAGCAATGGGCTCAAGTGGACCAACGATTGTGAGGTTGGCACAGGACTGGACAATGTTTTGTTCTGTTGTGCATAAGGTTGCTATGAGTCAGAACCAACTCAGTGGCACCTAACAACAACTGCTGTGTAACAAATAACTCCAAAACATAAGCAAGCATCCACTTTATTCTGTGACTTAAGAACTGGAAAAGAGTTTGGTAGGGAGACCTGTTCTCTCAGCTACACCATATCTGGGGCCTTGGCTGGGCAGACTTGAAGTGGGGTGGCTCAGCATCTGGAATCATCTGGAGGAGTCTGGCTTATGCCCACAAACTGAGCCAGCCAGCTGTTGCCAGTGTTTCCATGAAGCTCTCCATAGTCCCTCCCTGGGTGCCCACTTGGACTTCCTCACAGCATGGCTGATAGTACCTAGTGACTGTCCCAGGGCAGCAAGGGGATGTGCACATCCAACATGCAGCTTCTGAAGTGGCATTATGCACTACCGCTGCACTTCATACTTGAGACCCACACAACAGGAGGGAGGGAACCAGTGCCCCGCCATGAGGGAGAGCTGTGACAAGGACACAGCACAAGCGTGTGGGTAACGATGCTGTTGTGGCTGTCTCTGGGAAAGATGAGCAATTTCAGTAGATCTCAGCCTCATGACCCTGCTGCAGGCCAGAGCTCCACCACTCAGAGTCAGGGAACAAGCAAGACCCCCAAGTCAAAGCAGGGAGAGCGGGACAGCCAGAGGTACTAGGGCAGAGGCAGAGATATAGAGAAATGCGATATCATAGGTAGCTGAGTGCAATCCTGAGGGAGGGATAGGCAAGCGTTCCTTCCTTTGACCTAGAAAATCCTCAGGCTGGTACTGGGACAGCCAAGAGGCAGGCTCTGGAGGTCTTAGGGCAGGGCTCCCTGAGGTGGAGGCACCCCTCTTTTTCTGGAAGGCATCTGAGATGGGTCTACAAGGCTCTCAGGCAGGGGCAGGCAGTGTTGTGGAGGATGTAGCTCCTCCCTGCTTTGGTCCACCTCCTGCCTACTTCCCTATGATAATGGCAATCCCACAGCTGACAGTACTGTGTACTCTCTATGTGTAAGGCACCATCATTTAAGTGTAGACTCTCCCTTCACCTTACTAGTAACCTTTGTTGTTGCTAGGTGCTGTGGAGTTAATTCAGACTCATAGCAACCTTAGGCACAATAGAATGAAACACTGTCTGGTCCTGTGCCAACCTCATAATAGTTACGCTGGAGTCTTTTGCTGCTGCCACCGTGCCAATCCATCTCATTGAGGTCTCTCTTTCTCGCTGACCCTCCATTTTACCAAATGTCCTTCTCCAGGGACTTGTCCCTCCTGGTAATATATCCAAAGCATGAGAGACCAAGTCTGACTCTCCTGGCTTCTATGGAATATTCTAGCTATATTTAATTCTCAAACTGACATCCTTGCTCATGAACACTTAATAGAGGTCTTGTGCAGATTCACATAATGCAATATATAACTCTGAGGATTCCCATTTTACAGGTGAGTATAGCAAGGAGCTCTGGTAGCGTAGTGGTTACGAATCAGGCTGCTAACCTCAAGGTCGGCAGTTTGAAACTACCAGCCGTTCCTCAGGAGAAAGATGAGGCTTTCTGCTCCCATAAAGATTTACAGCCTCAGAAACCCTGTACAGGGTCATTATGAGTCAGAACCGACTCCACTGTGCTTAACAACAAATAACAAGGTAGAACCCGGGTTCAGTGAACCCATCTGCTTCAAAAGCCACTGAAGGAAAGAACAACCATTCCGTCATCTGAACCCCCTGGTCTTGGCATGAGGCTAGGGGCAGCCCAGCTGTGGCCAGAGCCCACCCAGACCCTGTCCCAGCACCTGCCTCAGGGCACAGGAGACTCAGGTAGTAACTTTCCCAGTCTACCTATCTCCTGCAGTAGGAGAGAGGATACGCCTTCCCTGGAAGGAGGAGGTGCAGATGACCACTCAGGAGCACTCTTGGGTTTCCACAGCCTGGGGAAAAGGGGAGGGGTGCCCAGAAGCAAGGTCCCTGAGATTAGAGCCTCCTCAACCCCAAGTTATCCTAAGCACTGGTGCTCCATTAAGAGGTCCAGACAGGAGGAGTCTGAGGGGGCCATGGAGGACTCCACCAGTATTTCTAGGACTTTCTGTTCTCTGTGGGACTCTCCAAATTCCCTGCCTACTCCCAATGACTTCCCAAGGTCCTTATACACAGGGGCATGAGAGGAGAGTGACAGACATTCCTCAGTGAGTGACAGCTGGGCCTCCTGTCAATCCCAAGCCTTGAGCTCATCAGTGCTGGGTAGGGTCAATGGGTAGGATCCAGGCATGGGCATCCTTACAGGCACTGCAGAGGTCCTGGTTCTGGCCTGGGATCCTTGAGGGCTTCCTGGAGGTGAAGTGTGGACACTATGGGGACCAGACTAGTGCTATATATGGATGGGCAGAAGGGAAGCTTCGGGATAGGGACTTGGGAGGGAGGGACCCTAGGGATGGCACCCCTGCCCCTCCTCAGTGACCTACAGTGCCCCTTTCTGATCTAAGGCCTGCTTGCTTCTCTTTCCATTTGGGGGCCACTGCAGAGCTGTCTTCTTGCCCTGAAGACGCTCCCTCAAAGAAGGCTTCTGGATCACCCATTTAAAGAAAGGTTTAAAGAAACCAGTGTCTGTTCATCACATAGCAAATAGAGACAGCCTAAGTGCCCAACAATGGAAGAATGGATAAACAAACTTTGGTACATACGCACAATGAAAACTATGCAACCTTGAAGAACGAAGCTATGAAACATAGCACAACTTGGATGAATGTGGAGGACAGTGTGCTGAGTGAAATTGATCAATCACAAAAGGACAAACATTGTATGAAACCATTCTTGTGAAAGTTTAAGAAAAGGTTTCCAGTCTAAAAGTAACATTCTTTGGAGGTTACCAGGGGTAGGAGGAAGAGGAGAGTAATTCACAAGCTAGAGGGTAAGATACATGTTAGCTTGGGTTATAGGGAGAGCAGTATAAAAGAACCGGGTTACTATACAAGAAGAGGGAGGGTGGCAGAAGAATAATGAAGACAGGTGAAGATACAGGGAGGCATGAAGGGCTAAACAGCATAGATGTAAATAGCGACAGACACACAACCCTGGAACAACAGTGTTCTGTGAGTAGATACGTGTATCGAGACATAGGCTAAATGGGTAAGGGAGGAAGAGTGAGACATATTTTTATATCCTACAAATATATGAGTTTGAAAGAGAAAAAAAAAAAGAGAAATAAACCTGCTTCTTTTCTATCCTCTACAATTGTGATTGTGTGTTTACTGTCTGCCAGATTAGACATCCACTGGACAGGCCCACCTCACTGTGGACACTAAGTAAACATTTACGGAACACTAGGGCAGTTAGAGACCCAAGCACTAAAAAGATAATAGTCTCTCCTTTACTGCAAAGCAGTTAAAAAGGAAAATAGTATCAATGAGAAAAATAACATAAGGATTCCCCAGTGCTCTGTGTTTTCTCACTGTGTGCTCTGAAACATCACAGTGTGACAACTGTTGCTCATTTTCTGTGAGCCCTCATGTGTTTGGATGTCATCTTGTCCTATGACATCACTCCATCTGACTTGTCATCACCCACACATCCTGTGACATCATCTCTGGTTGGTGATATCCCCCAACCTGTCCATTGACAGCATCAGCCTGCCACATGACTTTGCTACATTCTGTTCCATGACATCATCCTGGCAGATCCTTGACATCCCTTTGTCCTGTGATGTCACGCTACCTGCCTTGTGACAGTATGTCATCTGCCCCACAGTGTTATCCTCACTGGTCCTGTGACTGGATGGACAGAGGCAACCCCAAGGGCCCCAGCTCAGCTGGAAGCGGGGTGGGGGTGAGGGGCCTGCCCAAAGGAGGTTGTATCTTGGCTGTCAGCCAGGCAGAGGTGGCCCTGCAGCATGAGGACCTGGGTTTAAATCCTATTTCTGCGTTTTGCCCTGGGCCATGATTAATCTTAAAGCGCCTCAGTTTCTTTGCCTGTAAAAAAAAATTACTAGCACTCATGTCATGAAGGTCTATCAGAAGGTGTGGAGTATTTAGCCTTCCGCACAGACGCAGTTGTGCTGCGAGTCATTATTTTGGAGAGAAGGGGCCGCAAGTACAGGGAGACGCTGCAGAAGGCGCCAAGAAGGGGGACCGGAATCATCCTGCTGTAGGCGATGAGGGTCTCAGGATCACTTGGCTGTGCCAAGCCTAGACCCGAGGATCGTCCGTTCTTATGACCTGATTGCCCTAGCGAATTTTCCTTTCAGATTCCTCATCCTGCTCTTCCCTAAACTCTGAGGTCTAAGGGTCAACACCGATTGGTCCTCCTGGCGCGCCGCCCAGGACCCGGCGCGGGCTGAGGTGGAAGCCGGGGACAGGCTGCCCCCTCTCATCCCCGCGATGCCAGAGGCGGACCTTTGTCGCTTGCGGGCCCCGGCCGGGAGCTGGCGCGTGACTGACAGGCGGCGGGATGAGCGGACTCCGCAGGGGCGGGGCGGACGCCCATTGGCCGCGCAAGTGTGGGAAAGAGCGCGGAGCTGGGTTCACACGCCGGGCGGCGCGGGTTTACGCAGCCGGCCGGCGGGCGCCGAGCGCGGGCCGTTGCCTGGGACCCAGCCGGAGGGGCACCTAGCGCCGCGCCCGCCGCTCGCCGGCTAGTTCCCTGGCGGCGCGGCGCGCCTGGCAGGGGAGGCGCGAGGCCACCATGCCCGCAGAGCCACCGGGGAAGCCAAGCGCCTCGCCGCGGGCAGGAGCTCCTGCCAGTGCTCGCCGGACCCCAGACAAACCCCGGAGCGCGGTGGAGCACCGCAAGGTGAGGGCCAGCCGGGTGGGATGCGACGTAGCGGGGGCGGACAGACGCGGGACTCAACTCCTACCCTCCCCGCAGTCCTCCAAGCCAGTCATGGAGAAGCGGCGCCGAGCGCGCATCAACGAAAGCCTCGCCCAGCTCAAGACACTCATCCTGGACGCCCTCAGGAAAGATGTAAGGCGGGGGCAGGGGCATGGGGGCCTGACGTGGGGTCTGGCATTTAGGGAGCGGCTGCCTATAGCGCCCACCGTCCCTGCCCCCCAGAGCTCCCGCCATTCAAAGTTGGAGAAGGCGGACATCCTAGAGATGACTGTGAGGCACCTGCAGGGCCTGCGGCGCGTGCAGGTGACAGGTGAGGGGCTAACGGTGGGAGTGGGGTGGAGCGTGAGGGACCTCCGCCACGGGCACCAACCACCAGTTCCCCTATAGCCGCGCTCAGCGCTGACCCCGCCGTCCTGGGCAAGTATCGCGCCGGCTTCAACGAGTGTCTGGCAGAGGTGAGCCGCTTCCTGGACGGCTGCGAGGGTGTCCCCGCCGATGTGCACTCCCGCCTACTTGGCCACCTAGCTTCCTGCCTTGGTCAGCTGGGGTCCTCGTGCCGCCCAGCTCCGCTTACCACCGCCGTAGAGGCTTCCGCGTCCGAGGTCTACACAAGTTGCCCGCTGCTGCCAGCGACCGACGGTCCCCTTTCTCTGTTGCGCCCCGCAGCCACCTTCGCGTTCCTGCCGGCCTTTGTTGGGTCGGGGCCCAAGCCAGTGCCAGGTCTGACCAGGGCACCCCCTGCTGCCCCTATATCCGGGCCACATAGCCGGGATGCTCCCTGGAGGCCGTGGCTGCGGTGAGGTCAGGCCCTTGGACTTCTGGGGCCTCCTCCCTATCCTAGGGCCAAGACCTTTTGCCGAGAGGTACCCTGAGAATATTTATTACTAGAGGCTGAGTCCAAAGTGTTGGTGTGTTTTTTTTTCTTTTAAATGGGAAATGACTTTGTGGAGGTCGGTTACAACCTGGCGAGTGAAATTTGATAGCGTGGGACGGGAGGGAATCAGGGCGGGCTATGTGTCCCACGAATCCCTGCCGCAGGCCCCTCCTTCCTGCCCACGCCACCCTGTGAGGTCCGGGGCGAAGATGCTAAGTGTGGGGTCTGCACGTTTCTTCATGGCGGGCTTCAAGGACTAGACTGCAGGCATCCCCGCCCCTAGGCTCTGCCTCCACCCCTTCCTGGTCCCTCCTTTAACTCCTTCTTGCGCTTGCGCGGGGGAGGGGGGAGGTGGGGACGAGGTTGCCGCCCACTGTCATGGGTTTGTTTGGATCTGTACTAGGGAACTAGTTACTGCTCCTCTGAAACCCTAGACAGCATCGCTGTGCTGTGAGTCTGAACGACTCGACCACGCTTAACAACAAAGCACTGGTGCCAAGGAACTACCTTGGGGTGCAGGTGAGAGTGTGCCGGATTCCCCGGGAGGGCCAGGAGGAAGGTGACAGCCCCGAAGTTGCCCAAAATGTGTCTCGTGAGGCTGTAGCATCACTGGGCGACTTTTTTTTTTTTTTTTTTTAATTGTGAATTGAATGAAGGTTTTACAGAACATCAACACATCATCATTCCCCATTCAACAAATTATACACTTTGTGTTATAATGATTGCAATCAATCCACTGCATTTACCATCCGATAACAGTATTTACCTCTGTTCACTTTTTTCCCTCTCCCCACCCCCACCTGCCCTGTAAACATCGTAGAGTGTTTCATTCAGCAAGAAAATCTTTTCTTAACTTTTTACAACAGTGGTCTCATGCAATATTTTTCCTTTTGTAACTGACTAATTGGGCGACTGGTTTTTAAAGACCCTCCCCAACTCTGGTGATAGGGGGGCACTCTTGTGCATGTTCACACCCTCAAGTGCACAGCCATGCTCTGGGATAAGGGGACACAGTCCATCTCCTATTTATTTTCATGGCTCAGTATTTATTTTCATGACTCCCTCCAGGCCCAACCCACTAGAACCAGAGCCCAGATAGTGTCTGCCCACGGGAGGGCTCTGGGACCAGGAGTGCTGGTTGCTACTTGACAGCCTGGGACCCCAGCCCTGAACAACCGCTGAAGTCACATCCTTTCATAGCAAGACCCCTTGTGCTATTGCTGGGGACTGTGCTTCAGGTACCTTGAGGAGATGGTCTGGGCACACCAGCTGAGGCTCATCCTGGAGGGCCTCATCTGGAGTGAGTTTCAGCATCTGGAGTGAGTTTTAGCATCTGGAGTGAGTTTTAGCATCTGGAGTGAGTTTCAGCATCTGGCTTGGCCTCTGGGGAGGAGGAGGGTGAGAGACTGGGGAAGAGAGAACATGGTACCCTGCAACCCCAGTGCTTGCCTATCTATGGCCTCCTAGACACTGCTGTGAACACTGACAAGGATCCTGTGTCTCTCTCGTGAGACCATTGCCCCTGCTCTCTGCTGCCTTGCTCCACTTGGTGGGACTCAGGGGCTGAGTCAGTGTCCCTGAATAAGTAGTTCTGGCTCCAGCAGAATCTCAAAGCAGCGCTCTTCCACTGGGTCACTAGGCAGGAAAGTGAGGGGGAGGTATTGCTGGGGGCTGGAAGAGGAGACACACACCTGGGGAAGTTGGAAGCACAGCCTTGTTAGGGCTCTGCTTGGGCAGGATGAGAAACCTTGGCCTCAAGAATGCTGGGCGTGTGTAGGCCCTCAGAGCTGGGTCCCACATTACCTATCGATACAGGAGGGATGTCTCCACCTGGCCAAAGGAGAGGACTAAGGAGTCACCTGAGACATGGATGGTGCCTGTGGTCATCACTCTTCTTCCTTTAGTAAGAAGGTAGAGACCCCTGGCCTTCTGTCCCCTGTAATCTGTTTTCCTCTGTTCTAATGTGGCCAAAGGGGTCTTTATAGAGGCCTGGGGGTGTGGACTTGGGTTTTTCACTCTAGCCCCCTCTCCCTATCTATTTTTATCTTGGCTTTTGTCTTACAGACACTTCTGATGAATGCCTTCTCCTGGTCTTGGTGGGTGGTGGGGAGGGATCCCCACTTCCTCCTCTGAGGGGTAAGGGGAAGAGAGGTGGCAGGTAGGCCTCAGTCCCTTCCCCTTGAGTCAGAGCTACATTCCCCCAGAGCCTAGTGCCTAGCTAGGATGGATGTCACACTGCCTATTTGCCAAATTCCTGGGCCATCATCAAATTCCTGGGTCTGCATCTGAGAGACCTGATCTTTGTGTATCTGGGCCTGCCTGCCTGAGTGGCCAGGCTGGGCAATGATATGAAGCGGAATACAGATGAGGACAGAAGCCCTGTAAGCCCCAAGTTCTGAGGGCAGGTCTGGGACTGCTGGGGACGTGAGTGAGAGGTGGAGTTTCACCCCTGATTCACCACTCAGCTGGGCTTCACCTTCCTATCTGGCTCCAGGACTGTCTCCGGAGGAAGAGGCTGGGCCTGACTACCTTCCATCTTCTCTCTGAAGCCTCGGGGGGCAGCTTCCATCCTTGGGGACACCAAAGATGGGCAAGAAAACAGGCCTGGAAGCAGAACCTCCCAAACCATCTCCAATGCTCTGCCCTCATGGTGGTCATACCTTGTGAATATCCCAGGGTTGGCTGAGTGGTCATTAGGGTCCCACTAAGGTGATAAGGTCACCTCGAAGTTAGGGTTAGGCCGTCAGTGTGAGATCTCTTTGTGTCTTTCAATGTCTCTGTGTCTATATATGTCTCTGTCTCTATAAATGTCTCACTGTCTCTGTCTCTGGGTCTCTCTGGGTCCCTCCCCAGTCTCTGTCTCTCTTCCTATGTCCCTCTCTCTCCTTTCCTGTCTCTCTGGCTTTCCCCACAACTCTCTTGCTGTGTCTCTGGTGTCTGTCTATCACATAATTCACTCTGTGGAAGCCAGCTGTTCCACAAGGAGGCCAATGCCATGTAAACCAGAGACCTCCTGCAACAGCAATAAAGGTGAGTTTGGAAGCGGTTCCTCCAACCTCAGTCAAGCCTTCAGACCAGACGGCAGCGCTGTTGCCATTTGATGGTGTGAAGAGACCTGAGCTAGCCCCACTTAGCACAGCGACTCCCAGATTCCTAAACCTCAGCTCCTAGTCTCAGAAACCCAGAATGAGATAGCAAATGTGTGTGTGTGTGTGTTGTGTTGTGTTTGTTTACTTTAAAGCTTTTGTTGTGTATTGAGTGAGTGAAGGCTTACAGCCCTACATTCAGCAAATCACTCTAGTGATTACAGTCTTCTCCTCCATGCACCCTCAGCCAACAGGATTTACCTGTTACTTTTTTTGTTGTAGCGTAGTGTTTACGAATCGGGCTGCTAACTTCAAGGTCAGCAGTTTGAAACTACCAGCGGTTCTGCGGGAGAAAGATGAGGCGTTCTGCTCCCATAAAGATTTACAGCCTCGGAAACCCTGTGCAGGGTCACTATGAGTCAGAACTGACTCCACGGTACTTAACAACAACAACAACACATACCACATTGAAAATTTATGTTCATTTAAATGTCCAAAGGGCACATTTTGCAAGCCATCCCTTTGCCCACAGGCACACTGTCTTCCTCAGTCCATGGGCCTGTAATCCTCTGCTTCTCTATCTCTCTATGCCATCGCCTCTGCCACCATCTTTGTTGTCTTTACTTTCCTGATTAGAATCCCTCACACTTCTCACGTTCTTCCCACATGATGGTCTTGGGTCCCTGTTTCTGAAACGACAGATTAATTCAAATGTGTATATTTTAAGCCATTACATTTTAGGCTAATGTGTTAGCAATGAGCAAGGATTATAGATCTCCAACCAGGTTAGATAATACACCGAGGTTGTCCAGTGTCATATCTGTGCACTTGGACTAGAAGTTGGGGGCAGTGGTAGCAGCAATGAAACTGACCTGATGCCCTGACACCAGTATGTCTGCTTGACATGGAAGTGATTTCCTGGCAGGCACTTGCCTTGGACAAGAGGCAACAAGAGAGCCCTACAACCCAACCCCTTGTCAGCTTAGTACTCCAGTGACAACCAGACAACCTCACACACGGACACCCTGCAGCCTGGACATCTCATGACATGGATGCCCAAGTTGTATGGCAGTTGTCATGGTCACATTCTGGCAGTGCTTGCTCATCACAAGTACCCTATGCTCCATTCCCTCCCCTCACCCAGACTGGGTGCCCCCAGTACCAACCCTGTCTTATCCATCATAGTGAAGATGAATGTGGGGGAGTTCGGCATGTGGAGAGACACTACTATGCTCCCCCTGCTAACAACCCCCAACTTCTGTAGATCAAAACCTGTGCTGAAGGACTGGGAGACTACCACACTAAGGGCTCCAGGCTGTCTGGGTGTTCAGGCTGAACACCCCAACTCTTGACCCCTGTTATCACCCATGGCCCCAGTGGTCAGGGGTCTTGTGTGGCTGTTCTCCCTTCCCGCTCCTCACAATTCTGGTAGGGCTGTTGGAAGTGAGTCAGAGGTCAGTGACCGCACACGGTCCCAGTATAGAGACAGTCACCACCTTTATGGTTTTACCTAGCGATCCCCCACCCCTCCAAGAGACTGAACTGAGGTTCCTTATGCATCTGGATCCTCCCAGTACACATAAGATCTTCCCAGTGTATGAAACACATGAATCCTCCAAGTGTTTAAAATAAGCAGGACTGCCTCCGAGGACGTACATGGAATCCTCCCAGTGCATGGGACAAATTAGAACCCTCCCTGGGACACACAGGGGAAGCCTCTACAGGACACACGAGACTCAGTGCTCAGGACACCAGGAGGGGCCCCTATGGCCTGCCACTGACTTCAGAGCACACTCGGGGACATAAGGAAATAGTGACTTGTGTGACATGTGTATGTTAA